AGGCATGCGCCACCATGCCCAGCTGATTTTTTGTATTTTTAGTAGAGACGGGGTTTCACCATGTTGACCAGGATGGTCTCGATCTCTTGACCTCGTGATCCACCCGCCTCGGCCTCCCAAAGTGCTGGGATTACAGGCGTGAGCCACCGCGCCCGGCCTGTACAGCACTTTTAAATAGCATCACACCATATAATGTTCAGTGGGTCTCTTTATTTTTTGTTGTCCTATTTCCAATCAATGGGTCATTTTTTGGTGTAACTGAAAATCGCCATCTAAAGATGCCAATAAACTATGGAGGGAGAGTCAGTAACTCTTGTCTTCAGTCAACACGTAGTCTGTTGGAAGGGGGAGGGGGGAGCAACTGAGTTATAGGTTTTTTTCTTTGTTTGTTTGTTTTTTTTTTTGAGATGGAATCTTGCCCTTTTGCCCAGGCTGGAGTGCAGTGGTGTGATCTTGGCTCACTGCAATGTCCATCTCTCGGGTGCAAGGGTTCCAGTGATTCTCCTGCCTCAGTCTTCTGAGTAGCTGGGACTATAGGCGTGCGTAACCACATCTGGCTAATCTTTTTGTATTTTTAGTAGAGATGGGGTTTCACCATGTTGGCCAGGCTGGTCTCAACCTCAAGTGATTCGCCTACATTGGCGTCCCAAAGTGTTGGGATTACAGGCGTGAGCCACCACACCCGACCAAGTTATAGTTTTGTAATTACAGGCACTAAAATCAATACCTTTTCACTCGGCTAAAGTGAATGTAGGTCCAACACGCCTCCTCTGGAAGAGCCACTGTTGCAACTGTACATTTTAACTTTCTTTGCTAATAAGCCTAGGTGACTAAGCAATTGTTTCCTGAAGCACCAAAACTCAGCTGACATTAATTAAATGATAAATTGTCTTTATAATTTAAGTTTCTTATGATGGATTTTAGAAATACACACTAATAACACCAGAATTTTATATTCAAATTTTTTTGTATCAAAATTTTGGTATTTTAAAGTTAACTAATACTTTGAAAAGTTAAAAATATAAATGTTTATTATGGAAAAATCTAAAATTAGAGAACAAAAGAAGAAGATAGTTGTTTCCGGTCTCGCTTTGGAAAGACAATCACCGTTAACATTTTGGGGTACTTCCTTTTAATATTTTTATCATCAAAAGCTTATGGTTTTGAATTTCCAACACTGTTGTAATGAAACTATATATGTATATTTTCAAATCAAAATTTTCCTTAAACTGATAAGTATTGTTCCATACTGCTACGTAGTCTTCAAAAACAGTGTGCATTTCTGCAGGACACTCTGTTGAGAGGAAATCCTAGAACTTCTTTGACCTGGCTACAGCAGCAGTTCTGGTTCCGACTTTGATGTTAACTGGCTTCAAACCATTTCACCTCCATGAAGTCCAATCAGGGGTTTGGGCCAAGTAACAACAGCTGCCACTGGGCACCCCATGTGCCAGGCCCCATGCCATCCCCTTTGCCAGCGCATGGTCTTGCTGACTCCTCACAGTCATTCTGAGATGGGGGTGCCATTATCCCCATTTACACAGAAGATATTTCTTTAACCATTCTCCTGTTGGTGGACATTCAGGTTGCTTCCAAGTTTCCTCTTATACAAATATGGCCACAACGTGCACTTCTGTTCAGAAACTTTTCACCACATTTGGGATTATTTCCTTAGATTTGCAGAGCATAACTGCTGTAGCAAACAGTACAAATATGTGAAGGTTTTTGATATAATCTGCTAAACTGCTAACCACAAGGGTTATGCCAACCAGAAAGGTACAAAAACACCGATTTCATTCTGATCTTGTCAGCAGCTGGCACTACTAAATCAAAACAAAACAAAGTAAAATACAACAAAACCCTTCCCTGCCCAAAGTACCAACTTCATTGATTTTTTTAAAACTTTTCATTAGGGGAGATTTAAAAACATATACACAAGCAAATGAAATAGTACAAAGAACCCCATGAACCCATCCCAACTTCAGCAATGACCAACTCTGGGCCAAACTCGTGTTACCTCCACCTCCACCTCCTTTTCCCTCCCTGTTACTCTTCTGAAACAAACAACAGCCATGTTATCACTTCATCTGCAAATATTTCGGTATGTATTTCTCGAAGTCTCTGAAAGCACAAAAGCAGAACTACGACACCATCCCACATCTAATACAATAATAAATCTCTAATATCATCAAGCATTCAGTTCAGTGCTTAAATTTCCAACAGTCTCATCAATGCCACTTTATTAGAAGTCTGCTCATATCAGGATCCAAATATGGTCCACACAATGTGACTGGTTGACATGCCTCACAAGTCTTTCCCAAACTAAAGAGATCCCCGTCCCAACCCCATGCCCCCATTTTATCTGTTGAAGAGACTGGGTTATCTCCTACAGAGTTTTCCCCAGTCTGGATTTTGCTGATGGCATCCCAGTGGTATACTTTAACATGCTCCTCCTTCCTCTGTATTTCCTGCAGATTGGTAATTAGATGAGATGCAGGTTTGATTTTTTTTTTTGGCAAGACGACTTCTGGGGCTGTAGTAGTTTATGGATAGTCAGTGTGAAAAGTCTTGCACAGGTTTACTTCTGGAATCTTCTGAATCCATGAAGCTCTAGGAAGTTTGTCAATTCTTATTCTTTATAGAGACAAAAAAGATCCTGGCACTCATCTAAGTTGAATAGACACAGAATTATGGCTTTATGGATTTTTTTTTTTTTTTTTTGAGACAGTCTCACTCTCTCTCCCAGGTGGGAGTGCAGTGGCACAGTGTTGGCTTACACAACCTCTGCCTCCCAGGTTCAAGCAATTCTTGTGCCTCAGCCTCTCGAGTTGCTGGGATTACATGTGTGCACCACAACGCCCAGCTAATTATTCCTATTTTTAGTAGAGATGGGGTTCCACCATGTTGGCCAGGCTGGTTTTGAACTCCTGACCTCAAATGATCCACCTGCCTCGGCCTCCCAAAGTGCTAGGATAACAAGCATGAGCCACAGCACCCAGCCTAGATTTTTAACATGGTCATAATACACCCAGTTTTGCAGCTTAACATTTTGAGGCTTTGGAACCAGGTTTTGGCTCTGCTGCTGGAAAGCTTGGCCTAGCTACCTACCTTCTCTGAACATGTAAACGGAGATAATGGCACCCCCATCTCAGAATGACTGTGAGGAGTCAGCGAGACCATGCGCTGGCAAAGGGGATGGCACGGGGCCTGGCACATGGGGTGCCCAGT